ATGATGATGATGATGATGATGATGATGATGAGCCATAAGCCAGTAGTGTACTGTCCACCCATGTAACGAGCGGAGCGTTACCACAACGAGAAGGAACACTGACGAGAGTTGGGTGGCCCAACCATTTTGTCGCTGGTTGTATACGAAGCGCGTTCAACTTCAGGTTAACATCAACCAGTTGCGGGACGTTTCCTTGTTTAAGCTGAAAGGACGAAATGCGAGTCACCGAAATAATCTTCATGTGCGGTTTTACGTTGACTGTGGCATCCAGAGATATCAAGGTCAGGTCAAGATCGATGATATTCACCATCGGTATGGCTACAATAAGCCACATCAGCCAAGTTTGTTTGCTGCCAACACGATGCTGTTGACTAAGATACTGTGAACCTAAAACATTCACGGTTATCTGTCCTGTGCTTTTTGGCTAAGAGTGGCAGGCAGGCATGCATTTGGTCATTTCCACATACTATGATTGGCCCACTTTTGAGCGAGCTCTGATTGGTCTTTGAACTAACTTATGCAAAAGCTCAGAGCTGGACCAAATTCCATTAGAGCGAGATCAAAACGAAATCAGCTCAAATCATGTGAGTTTTGGCCATGGGTTACTTATTAATAGTTAGCCATTGTTAGCTGCCTTTTCTTTTATCGTTTACCATGGTAACTTTGAATATCCTAGTCACATTTGTGTTATTAATGTGTTCAAACTGACTGCTTACTGAACGCTATTGCCGAACACTGGAGACTTTGGGAATCATCTGTAACCAAATGTATATGCAACTTTATTGTTTGTTATATGTGGCACTTAGTTTTGTATAGTTTTTTTTATGCCCACTGACTGGATTTCCCTGTAAACCACTTAATCTTTGGTTAGCTATTTTACGGGGAGGGTTTGAAAGCAAACTCACTAGGGTGAATTTTGTTTGTTCCTGTTACCGAGTTGTTTGGAAAGTGTGCACAAAGGACTAATAAGGAGGGGCAATTAAGGTCGCCACATCCTTGGATATTCCGTCTCGCCATCGTGTAATCGTCAGCTGTTTTCTGACATTTTGTGGCTTGTTCTGTGTAGATATTTTGATCGTGATGTCTATACATTTGTATACTCTTAACGTACCGGTTTCAACTACTGACATATTGATTTTAATTAAAATGTTGATGAATTTTTGGTAAAACTGCTTAGTAGCCTTCATTTACTAACACACGACTATAACTAAGTGTTATGTAGATGTATATTTCAAGTGACCGTTCAACTAAACCATTTCGGAGTACGTTACTAGGTGAATTACTTCCACGTCTTGTTAGAGGTGTACGAATGTTTAATGCCTTTTTGCCTTGCTGGAGTTAGATATCTGGCTTCGGCTGATACATAAACTTATGGAACATAGAGCACCTTCGTTCTTTTAGATGGGCCCGCACAAAAATGACCTTCAGCGTACTAAGGTTATTATAAACAGTTCCTTAGCTCTCAAGAGACCTTGTATTACGTAGTGCCTACAGTCTGTTAAGTCGCAAATCTCAGGTTTTAGTTATCACTATCAAAAAAGATACTGTTCAGGTTTTGAACCACATTGTATTCCTCATATTATGACATACTATGTTACGTTTGACAGTATTATACTGTCAGGTCATCCACACCTTATGGTTGACAGCCGACGTTGTTACCACTGTCACATCACATTGGGGTTAGTTACACTTTTCTTTACAAATATACTCAATTTCATCTTCATCTACTAGACTTCATCTTTCTGTGACCTTTGTTATTTCTAAAGTGAGCACGTTTACATACTATTTTTTCCTCATTCTATATTCCTTTCTTGACTGTTCAACAGATAATCTGTCTACCTACGAAGTCTTGGGATTCTGTTTGGCAAACGCCAATTGTTAGAGTACAGGATTTGCGAAACACGAGTTATTTTCCACCTTTACATAAGAAGACGTCTGCTGTCTTGCGACTTAAGTGGGGGATCAATTGTTTTCAAGCTCCTAAAATTCAAACAGTATAAAGCGATGCAAGCAGAGCTTGAACCTACGACCGTGTAGCTGGCAGATGTGTGATAACTTACCACTGCGCTCGGTTCTGACTGTTCAGTATTCGCCAATGAATGCATTCCAGCAAAACCACTATAGTGTCCTACTTACACAAGTAGAACAGTCTTTCTGTTATATACCCATTATCGCTCACTTGGCTGCCGAGTCGAGAAAACCGGAACAAAGGTGGTCTGAGTGGTACTAAGTGATCTCAACTTGCTAGAAAAACAATGCCGTTTCCATAGAGAACCAACAGTGCATACACTGACGCATACTACTGGGCAGCAAGCGTGTTGCGTCTTAATTCGCTCCATCACTCTTACATTCGGCGACCTTGACTTGAGCAAATCAGTTGTTTAAATCCAAAACTATTTCGAACAACTTTTTTTAATCATCACCTCTCACAAACAAAACTGACGTGGCAGTTGATCGCTGTTTTTGATCACCTGTAACCGGCTGACCGGATTTCCCATTTGCAACAGACTGTGCATCTGCTCTGATTGATTGAAGTTTCTCCGAGCAGTAAATCGCTCCAATCAAATCTAATTACATCTATCTCTTAGATTTTGAAACCGTGTAATATTGATGCATGTGGAGCTTAGTGGGTGTTAATTCACTTATTTTATTCCACGGAGTATCGGTTTCCCCGCCATGCTTACAACTTTTCTGGGATAAGTACGCCCGCGAGAAAGAGGTGGAAACTAGACACGACGTGTGACATTAAAGGAAAATACCATGTTTCAGCAACAGCTTGGTGGTTCGATGATTTCATTGTTAAGAGAAATGCGCAACGTTACATGGTCCTAAGGTGATCGTTTGAGTCCACAACTGTTCCCAGCGTCCCATCTGGCCCTATTCCTATTTGTGAAAAATGTCAGATAAAATTTGTATTACTAACAAGTAGTGTGGCAGATTTAGGATTTTAGATGAGACCGAATTGTGAAGTCAGGGCTTCGGCTGGATTCGAACCAGCGACAGAAACACTAACGCGGCAAGCGCTCTACCAGCTGAGCTACGAAGCCACGCCAGGAGCTCGGAAATTTCACATTTGGACTGGTTCGAATCTAGCCGAAGCCCCGATTTTTCATAATTGGATCTCATCTAAGATAAAACTTGTTTATTATTACATATCATCTGTAATCTACACATAATATACTAGTATGTGCTTAAAGACTAGCCAAATAATGACCGGTACCAGTGTACACCTAATACGAACATATCTCGTTGTTAGATTCTCTTCACGATCGACAGTTTGTGATTGACCGACCGAGTGGCGTCATGACAACCAACAGGGCACTGTTGGATTTTCTTTTTTGAGCCGTCTAAAGTCTGTGGTGTATGTCAGAGGACCAGTGAACGTCGAACAACTGAAGACAAACAATGATAGGTAATACCGGCAGATAGGACAATAAATCTTCACGAATGTAGAACCGTATTTGAAACTCATGCTGTTATGTTAATTACTCATCGGGCATCATGTCGAACAATTTCAATTGAAAAAGTGAAGCCGTTATGTATGCACCAAACCGAAACCAGCCATGACCACTAATCCGTTACATTATTCAGCAATCGCGAATATAATTTCCTTCAGCCTAAAGTTGATCGTGGACGTATGGAGAGTGTACGATAGGAATTAGTCCGGAGGAATAGCTGTCTCCTGCGATTAGTAACACTTAGTTCTAGAGAACATTGAGAGAATAGTAGAAGGCCGTTTCGACATTGCTGAGTCTCATCAGTAACACGAACACCGGGAAACTGCAGTGGTAGATTGCAACCAGAATGGTAGTCTAGTTTGTGATAAAAAGGAAACGTAATAGCCCAGGAAATTAAGATCTCATCATCCTTCAAAACTACTTGGTTATAAGTTAAGGGAAAAAGTCATGAGTAGCAGGCTTTCTTGTACTATCGTACTACCACTTCTGTGGTCACAGGTGATCGCCGGAAGCACACCGTGAGTATGAAATTAGAAGCTGAACTGCGCAGTGAATAACAGCAGGCGAATTTGAACTCCGGAATAAAACAACTGCTTGAGAACCCTACTCTCATCAGCATTGGGTCTAATGTGTGAGAACACTTGATACCCGAAAGTTCAACTGACATTATGAGGCCATTTGTGGTAGCAATACCAAGCCAGTGAAAGAGGATTACTATACAATACACTAAGTATTTAGAGGTAGATTTGTGTAGCACGATAACCACGTTGGCGTCTGCAATGATAATTTACAGTATATTGCTCGCCACGGGAGAAAAATCTCAAGATAAACGTGAGGGTTTCTGTCAATTATTAAAATCAAATAATGTCGCTCATACACACGACGTGTACCACAATCCGGTGGCCAACTCTATGGTTGGTTGACTGACCTGTACGCTAAAAAAGTCGAAATAAAAAATTGATATTTTTTGAAAACATAAGAAATAGCTACTATTGATGGATTTTGTATCTCTAGGACCACTCGTAACAGCCGAACTTTGACCCTGAAGCCTTACTGATTGACTTCTTTATCACTGGGCTATTTCATGAAGTAATAACAAAAATGTTTTCTAAGTAAGCGTTTGCTAGGCCGATTTCAAGAAGGTATGCACATCACGATGAACAATAATGCCAAAGACCTGAAACCGAAAATACAGTAAACGAAACCAACTCAGTCTCGGTTGAATTTGTTCGGATATTGACTCCTTTTCAATCCATGTACAAGTTTGTACTGGTGTTTTTATATTTCCGCAGTTGGCATTTACTCCAATTAGTTAAATACCCGAGCTACCGTACTACGTATTTGACTTTGAATTACAGAAAGCAACAATGGTATCACTGTTTTCATGTCTCAAAATGCCTTCATATTCACTGCGTTTACTCCGCTTGGAAGATCTCACCTAATCCTCCGTTTAGATGTGTGCGTTCAAGAAAGTATGACAAACAGGTTTTGCGCTTCAGGGTCCCACCGGGGACTCGTTTCACTTGAGCAATATCTGAATCTAAATGAGGAGAAATTAGAACCAGATCTTCCGGAGGGGTTCACCTCCCGTGACTTCATGATCATCGTCCTAAGAGATTTTGATTCTGATTCGTGATTAGTTCGTATTCTTCGTACCCCTGTTCGGCTTGCAAAAATTTCTCTGTATTTTATCTCAGCACAAACCGTTTTCGCTTTTCACTTTCAGGAGCGTGAATGAATTGAAGATTCACACCAGAAAATCACTTTCGCATTAAACTCTGTGGACATCTGGGTATTCAACATTTGTCTGAGATAACAGAAGAACACTTTGCAAGCATTTCCATTATCTCCAACACGGTGTTCCGTATATTGTGCTTTCATCAGTCTATCTCCTGAAACATGAGTCGGAAGTCAAACTGCTTTATGGTGGTCCTCATTATTATCGCGGTTATCCTACTTGTTTTGGCCCTGGTCTCATTCATTCTGTTGTTCGTATTCGACCAACTGTTTTTGACTATGCTCGCTAAGGTACGTTGACTAGTCTGGACAGCATGGAAACTATTCTGCTTATGTTCAGACACATTGTTCTCGCCTACACTAGATCGAGCGTTGTTGTTCCACACTTAAATCGACCTTTGGTTGAGGTTAGCAAACAGTGTGCACAGTTTTCAGCAAATGTTATCTGCCTCAAATCCAGTCAGTTTTCGATAGGACTGCCTTTTTTGACCATCTGTTTCTTTCATCCAAAAGCTGGAGCGTTCTTAATTACCGAGTCGAGCGACTTTACGGATAGTAAGTTCACACCCAAGCGAGTTTCACTAAGCGTTTTAAAATTAGACGGTTATTCTGAAGGAATTTCTGTCTATAGTTTCCCCATTGAACCAGTTGATGAGTCCGCACAATTCTACGCGTGCACAATGCTCGCTAATGAAACATATTCTACGTGATCTTCCAACGACAATTGTTTTTTCGCCTTGAATACTACCTTCTCAGCATGCAATGTAACTTCAGACGGCTGATGACTCGATTTCTTCACAGTGTCCATTACCTTCGCTGAATGTAGATGTCTTGTTCTAGGCTGCCATTCTTTCAGTCTGATTGCCATTTCACCCGATGTGCGCAGTAACACGCGGTTTGTAACCAGGTGCCTGATTGCTGTGTTTCTCATCACTTTGGCTTTACTTTGTGCAGAATACGGTACTTCAACCTGGTTCACCTTTGTTCGATAACTGGCTGAGTCCATCGGTTCCGATTTGGTTCAAAGTGTACATGCTAAATTTGACCAACGCAGATGAAGTTCTCAACGGTGGGCGACCTCATTTTCAAGAAGTTGGTCCTTTTGTGTATAGGTAAGTCACATTACACCCAATACCCCCCTGACTTGTGTGACCAACTGCTGCAAGCCTGAATATCATATGCGCACAATTTTAGCGAGATGAGATTTTCCCATTCCACCTGTGTGATCACATCCATCTGCGTACGCCTAACATGGTGCGACTGCTGGATTTTTTGGTCGCGATGTCCTTCGTGAGGGAACGCAGTTCATACACGATGAACCGATTATCAAGACAGACGAGGCCGTCCACTATAATTTTCACACGGATAAACTGCCATTAAGATACTTTCGAATTCGACGTTGAGAATTGGCACTTGCATAGCCCAAAGATCCAAAGCGTTGTCATAACCAGCACCGTGAGCAATCGATAACTAAAGCTTTAGCGTCTGGATCACGAGATAGGCATGCGATTAGTAACACTTGTTTCGGATTAGCCTGTTATCGTGAACGAAACCAAAGAATGGCTGTGCATAATCGTCACCACAAGTGGATTGCACTGCATAATTACCCCTCTCACACGCGCACACATCATCCCACTTACACACCCCGAATCCAGTGCAATCCAAAAGGAACAAAATCACAAGGCATGTGAGGGGGACCTTTGTGTCCAATCGGCTAATGCTGGTCAACCAAATATCTAGGCTAGTATGAAAGTGAAACCCTTATCTCTCAGAGATCGGAGATCTAAATTGGGAAGAAAAATACTGGAAATGGAATGCATGAGGTGGTTCAATATACAAGTACTTGTTAGTGCACTCTACAGAGGATGAGGAGGAAAAATAAAAGTCAAGGTTGGACTGAAAATGAGACAAAATATTCATCGTACAATACACCTAGAAACCTGAAGATGATGATGAAGAAGAAGTAAGGTAGAATGCTATGGAGACCCAGGTTTCCGAAAATGGGAGCGGATGAGTTACCAGAGGATGGGGTTCATTGGCCGATGAGAACTGACACATAACCTACTCGTTGTGTCCTCGCCGACGGTGTAATGAGAGTAAGAGAATGATTTAGTAATCCGAGACAAACAACACATTCGCAGTCAAACAAATCGCGCCATCATGAACTATGGCACCGATGGATCCCTTGCGTTGCACGCGATCCACTTCACGGTTGCACAATAATTGCTCATTGAACTCTCAGACGTCCGTCCAGGGCGGGTTTCTTCAGACCGTCCGATTCAACGCTAAATCTTCCAAACATCTAAAATCAATGCTACATCGCGAAACACTTACCTGACCAATAGACTGGCATCTCAATTTGTGATCACTGGGATTTCGCACAACTGGTTTCACTTGTCCGCACCAGCACCTGCTTTGGAATACGATCATCGTCCATTCTATGAAAGCGACCTAGCCAACGAAGTTGATTCAGCATCAGCGTCGCCTCGACCCCGTTCATGTTCGCTCGTCAAACTACCTCAGTGTTCGGAATCCTGTCCGACCACCGAATATCTAAGATGAGTTTTA